AAGATGAAGATGAAGATGAAGATGAAGATGAAGATGAAGATGAAGATAAGGATAAAGATCATAACCCCTTAACTTAACTTAACTTACCTCAACTCATCTCACATCCGCTTAAAAACTTACTCCACCTGAGCTCACCACACCTTAATTCACCGCACCTCAACTTTCTCACCACACCTTAACTCTCCACACCTCAACTCACCACACCTTGATCCACCACACCTTAATTCACCACACCTCAACTTTCTCACCACACCTTAACTCACCACACCTAAATTCACCACACCGTAACTCCCACACCCAATTCCATCACACCGCAACTCACCACACCCAATTTCACTACATGAAATGATATCACTTGATGAGGCATCAAAGGCAACATCATTCGGCATAAAGTGAACCAAAATAAATAAGATTTAGATAGAGAGGAAGAAAGGGATAGGGATAAAAAGGAAATACAACTGAAGATTGTGCGATGTTATATTGTGGTGTGTTATGCTTCATATGTTATGTTATTTAATCTTATTTTATGGTTTAGTGGTATGCTAAGTGCTAAGCTAAACTCCCCTCCACTTAACCCATTCCAACTAATGTTTTTTCAGCTCATTCAACTCACATAAACAATCCCTAATTTTATCGGTTGAATTTCAACCGCTGGGCGAACTCTAGTACATGTAAATACGCCACAAGAAAATATTGCAATCCCTTTTTTGAAGGCATCGTTCGCTCGATTTCAATGAAACATACACCGGTTTAAAGGATATAACTTCCTCTAATTCAGAAATATTAATCCCGATTCATAGGGGGCGTGGCATCTGACATATAGACTGAAATGTGAAAACCGCTATATCTCTAAAACCAATTACACCGGGGAACTCAAACTTGGCACAGATGCATAGATTATAACTACCCTACATACGGTGGGCGTGGCACTTCCCATACAAACTGAAATTCTTACATCGCTTATTTCTGGAACCACCTATGCTAACGTCCTGAAATTTCACACAGCAACATATGTTGTCAATACCATACATATGGCGAAAAGTGGTAGATTTTGGAAAAGGGGGCGTGGCACCGCCCATACAAACTGCAATTCCCATATCGCTTATCTCTGGAACCGCTTATGCTGACGTCCTGAAACTTGACACAGCAACATATGTTGTCAATACCGTACTTACGGCGAAATATGGTAGATTTTGGAAATGGGGGCGTGGTAGCGCCCATTCAAACTGAAATTCTCTTATCGGTCATCTCTGTAACTGCCTATGCTAACGTCCTGAAATTTGACACAGCTATTTATGATATCAATAACGTACTTGTAACGAAAAGTGGTAGATAATGAGAAAGGGGCGTGGCACCGCCCATGCAAACTGAAATTCT